CAGAGCAATATGGGTTACTTTGCAGAAGGGCTGAATTCTTCCTTGAGAATATGGGTGTGTCTGTACCATCTTTTCTGAATTTGAAATGTATTGTTATATATAAAGATAGAAAAGGTGTTGGCTTCTTATTAGAAGAAGGGGTTAGACAAAATGAGTTCAAGCCATGGAGAAAACAGCAACTCTGTAATGGTATCTAACTGCTTTGTGTGCTTCTCTTTGCTTCCTAAGTGTTCAGCTTTATCAGTCAGGCAAAATCAAAGATGACAAGAAGAATACTCAAGAAGGCAGTGTTGCCTTGTGCTAAGAGCACTGGTGAGTATCAGCAGACCTGGGTACTGTTCCTCTGTCTATTGTCTACTGTCTGTTGTCTCTCCTTTCTGTTTTCCTTGGTCTGTCTTTGATTTAAGGTGGTGCATGTAAACTATTTAGGAAAGTAACCACCTTTTTAGTTTTGTGTCTGGTACAGCATTTGGTGCAGTTGCATCTTGGTCCCTGATTAGGGTCCCTAAGCTCTCCAGTAATACAAACAATAATAGTAATTATACCAACTGTATGATGTGGCTTTTCAGCACCCAGCACAGTGGGGCCATTGTTTTGATTGAGACCTCAAGGCACTTTTGTAATGCAAGTTTGACCCTGATCCTTTTTGTAAATTCAGCAGACTTAGAAGGAAAAAATACACCCCTTGGCATGGGTATTTCTTCTGGCAATTGAGAACAAACCCAAGGGAAGCTTGTGCTTGTCTCTGAGCCATACTGTTATTCTAGCCTTCAGCAGTAGCAGATCAAAGACCACAAAGCAAAGAGGCTGCAGGTGCCAGTCGGGACAGGTTCAGTCTTTTCACAACATCGCAGTAATACACCTTCACTAATGCCTGTTAATCTCATGGCATGCCAGTGAGGAAAGAGAGAGACAATACAAGAAATCCTTCTCCCAAACACCCACCAGACTCAAATGGACTGCAAAGAGTCCTGTCAGCTCCCTCCATAGCAGCAGCAGTGCTGGACTCGTGTTCTAGGTTTCATAGATGTGGTAGAGATGGAAAAAGTGATATTTGGGGTCACAACAGGAGGGGCTGACTTTTGAGGTGAAAGCAGGGATGTCTAGTTAAGGCATCAGAAGATATCCTTTGTGAAAGTAGTAACAGCAGCAACACCAAGGACAGAGAGGGCAGGTGCATTCCAGAAGCAGGGCAGGGCTCAGGTGAGCTCCTTCTGGAGGGTATCAGTAATATGGGGGCTACACAAGTGAGCTGGCACCCTCTCATGGAGATAACAAGTGGTGTCCAGCTCTGGCAGGTTGTTTCCAATGGCAAATGTGGCAGGAGCAGCATTACTGGAACAGGATGCAACATTCCTCCCTTGAGCAGATAGGCACATCAAGCTTCCTACTGTCATCCTGTGCTCCTTCCACTTCCCGAGCTAGTTCAGCTTTCTTTACCCTATACTGCAGTGTGTGGGGTAAACATACCAGGAATTGCTATTACTATATGATTTAGGGGAAGTGTAAAATGTCCTTCATGGACAATTATGTAGGATTGTGTGACTGAGGCGGCAGACACTGCATATTTGGGCTTATACCAGTCTCCTCAGTGTGAGGTGGGGGTTAGGAGCAGCACCAGGCCCTTGAGGGACTGCTTTGGCTGTAAGCCAGGCCTGCTTCTTCTCTTCCTTTCTGAGGTGTACATGATATGCAAGCCAAGTCCAATCAGTGGCTGTCCCAAGAAGATAGATAACATGATCCCTTGGCTGTTTGCATTGCACCCCCTCCCCCTGCACACCTCCCCTTCTCCCTGACTGACTTTGATTACTGTACTTTACATGAGCTTTTAATTTGTGTGCAGGCAAGTACAAAGGCATAACCGGATATACCTGTTATTTGCCAATGACCTGAAAGAGAATAGTTTATGTGAAGCCTTGGGTTATGGTAATGCTTGCACGCGATTCCTCAGTATACTGTAGGCTGCAGGCAAGTGATGGATAGAGGTGATGAAGGGTGGAGGGAACTTTTAAAGCAACAGACCCTTATTTAATTCCTTTTTAACTTTCCAATTATGTAACCCTCCTGGCTTTATATTGTTTGGGGAGCCAGCCTTTTGCCTTTTCTACAGGCAAGAAATGCATTGTTCACACCACATTTATCCAGGTGAGTATTTGCCATGCTTTGCTAGGAATCATCACTGCAGCTTCTAAGAGTTAAGTTTTTCACCCATCACTTTTCAGTTGTTCAGCAAGCCACCCATATATTCATTGATACCATATCAGAAGGAAATCTGTCTAGAGCAGAAGACTGGGAATCAGGGGAACTGGCTTCTATTCTTTGGTCTAACACTGACTTACTGCATACCTCTGTAAGTATCTATACAAAAGGAGAAAGTAATATATTTACTGTATTTCAATGATTCCACCTCAAATCAGTTAAGTTGTGAAGCTCCTGTACATGGCCAGCTAGCTCAACCTGAGTGGTTTTATTTCTGACATGTATATTATCTGCAAAGATTTTTTTGAAAGGAATTCAGTCAGCATTATGAAGAAGTATGAGGTGGAAGGAAATCCAGCTTGTTGTCGGCTTTCCTTCAGATCCACAGTGCTTGCAGGTCTGAAATGTAGGAAGTTTAAAACTTGGGCACCATGGATCTGATTCTGATAGTCTTATTCACAAAGGATATAGGCTCACAGATAATGGCACAAGGACAAGTATAAAGTGCTATTCAGCATGAATCGGAGTATTGTAATACAGCCATTGAAGAATATGTGATATATCACAAAGCCAATCTGTTAGGTAAGAAAGTATTGCTTTGCCTTGCTTTCTGAGAATAACCACACTTCATCTTTTCTGTGCCTCTTTCTCAGGAATATTGTAACAAACTGCCTAATGGATAGAAACTATCATTGACCCAGCTGTTAATACCTAGAAAGACTCTTAAAGTTTAAGTGGCGGAGAGCTGTGTTTCTGAAGTAAGAGGATTTTAGTTCTTTCCTCCTTTTGGGGAGTCAGACATATGAGAAGGGACAGTATACCCCTGATACCCACAGTATATCAGTTAACCACATTTCTCAAAAAAAGGCACTCCCAAGAAATGGATCTGTACCTGCAGGCAGTATACATGCATAGAATTTTGTTCCATCCTATCCTTTTTTTTCTGTCCCAAACTTTCCAATTTTTATCTTTCTCTATTTCCCATCACCTTTTGTGTTATAAAAATTACAAACTTAGATTTTATTTAACTTATCTATTTTGTGATGCCCCATTTGTGTCAGTACTTGGGGTGAACATGAAAAAATTGCTACATGGTAGTAAGTTTGTCAATTCTAATTGGAACACGTGGCACGTCTTCCTATGGTGGGAATGTTTCCCTAAGCCGGTACTTGTTCTCCCTTCTAATTACATGTTCAAACTTGGACTTGTTTAAGGAAGTCTGGTTTGTTTGGTTTTTTTTTAGTTTCACATAGGATCATGCATAGTACATGATCCCAAGTCTAAGTATTAAATGTGTTTAATAAACTTAAAGTAGCATAATAAAATTGTATGTAGCATACTTTCAGAGTATTACATTTATGAAAACAGTCTTTATGGTCCTTAAGTTATCTAAGGCCAGACCATACATAAGTGTGACCTGGAGTACACTGTATTGTTATGGAGTACACTGTATTGTTATAAAGTTTACAGAAGACACAAATCCAGGAGAGCAAACACTTTGGAGGACAGGATTACAATTCAAAATGACCTTGATAGATTGGAGAAATGGCTAAATGAAGAAGATAAAATGAACTAAAGACCGTTGCAAAGTGCTACACTAGGAAGCAAAAAACAAATGTTAAGATACAAAATGGGGACTTAGTAGCTAGGTAGTAGTATAGCAAGAGGGTATCTGGGAATTAAAGATCACAAACTGAATATAAGTCAGCAGTGCTGTTGCAAAAAATACAACTCATTTTAGGAGGTATTAACATAAGTGTGTAATTAAGGTTCAGAAAGTGGTTATTCCACTCTATGTACATTGGTGAGGTTTCATTTGGTACGGTCTAACTCTGTGTCTAGTTTGCAATACTGCATTTTCACATAAATTGTTATAAAGAAGATGGTAATCTGTTATTACCAGAGATCCAGGTTTTCCATTTCCCATGGAGAAACGGAGTAAACCACGGATTTCACCTTTTACCAGAGGCAAACACAGATTTCTCATTTTACCAGAGGACCCCATGGATTTTGAAGTTTTGCGATTAGCCCTCTGAAGGCTGGCAAGAGTTCCAGCCTTCAGGGGGTTGTCGGGGAGCAGGAAGAGGGCAATCAGGCAGGAGACGCCATGTGCATATAGATGCACATGGCCCCAGGTAGTCTGTAGAGTAGCTCCAGCAGGTAAGTAGGTGGGTGGGGGTGGAAATTGAGCCCTCATAGGGAGGGAAGGGGGGAATTGGGCCAGGCTGGGGCTACTGTCCAGCCAGGCAGTGCTTGGGGCCTGGGGCCACAATGCGTGGCTGCAGAGCCCCACCAGGGTACAGGATGGGGCCACAGGCATCTCGTTCAGGGGCAAGGAAAAGGGCCAGCTCTCTACCACTGCACACACTCCCCAGAGGGGAAGAGGGACCCTTGCCACCCAGATCTGTACATGGGATGGGGGTGGGGGCAGGTGTAGGCTGTGGGCTTGGGCTTCAGCCCTGCTGCCCTACTCCAAGGCATCCGCAGCCCAGCAGGTGTGACCCAGTGCAGCAGGGGACTGTGGGGCTGCGCAGAAAAGCCACTTCTTGCTACAAGCTCCACACAGCCCTGAAAACATGTATCCTGTGTGCACAGCAGCTTTGATTAGTGCAACCCTGCGCCGCTGTCCTCTCTGCAGCTGCACATGCAGGAGACATGTTGCCAGGGCAGCACGGAGCTCACAGCTTTTCCACGTGGCCCCGCTGTTCCCTGCTGCACCAGATTACACTCACCAGGCTGCAGAGGGCAGCAGGGCGGGAGCCCGCGCCTGGAGCCTGCACCTACCCCCACCCCACCCCCAGATCTGGGGGCCACGGGTCCCCCTGCCTCCGGGGAATGCATGCAGCACCAGGGAGCTGGCCCCACTCCCCTGCCCGAGCCCACAGCATGAAGCCTGCTGCACGCTCACCCCATGCACAGATCTGTGGGGTGTGGGTTCCCTCTGCTCCCTGGGGAGTGCATGCAGTAGTGGGGAGACAGCCCTACCCCCCCACCCACCTGAGCCTGCAGCAAGTAGGCAGGCAGCAGGGTGGGGACTGGGCTCTGCTGCAGCAGCCACCACCACCTGCCAGGGGCAGGGGGCTGCTGACCTAGGTCCCTGGACCTGTAGCCCT